ACAGAGCTGAGATCCTTCCCTGCTGGAACATAGGAATCAGTGAGTGCCCAGAGCTGACCAGGACCTGACCAAGGCCTTATCTCAGTGGTGTGCCCACAGACTGACTTCGAGTTTGGTTCATTACCTTACTACATCCTTCTGATATCTGTTTTCTGCTGTGGTTTGTCTTCTGCCCTGCTCTGTGTGCTGTGTAAGAAGCCAACGTGAATCACATGGTGAAATGCAATTGAGTTGGGAACCCTGAACCTGCTTTCTAATTGTGAGTTAACTTTGCTTTATGTTTGACTAAAGCTGACATTATGGAAAGACACAACTAATGTGAACTCCTTCATAACGTGGTCATGATACAGCCCCCATTCAGTCTATCAGCATGTGAGTCCCTGTTATTCAAGGAATACTTGACTTGAGCTGGGTTTTGAGGTGCACCAGAGATTTTGTATAGAAACACCAATGAGTTTCTATAAATGCCAGTATTTCTCTTTCTAATCCTGAAAACATATTTCCCATTCAAAGAGAGAATCAGGAGACTATACACCAGAATGGCATTGTTACTAATATGCTTTGAAGAGAAGTTCTGGGCATAAACTTAACATTCTGACTAAAAAACAGAAAAAAATAATTTCCCTCTGCCCCCTGTCAAAGGCGAAATAAAATAAAGTCACTTACAGGGTATTTGGCTAGCTTGGTTGGTAGAGCAGGTGACGCTGATCCTAGGGTCATGTTAGGGATAGAGTTTACACCAAAATAAAAATAAATAAGGTTACTTATGTCGTGGGAGTTTAAAATGGAGCGGGGAGATCATTAAAGAGGTGGCCTTTATGCACACCCTCACTGGGTGGTGTCATGAAATTTGAACTGGTCTAAACCATAAAGACTCTAAGACTATACAGAACACCTGCATCTTGCTACAGTATCTATTGGACTTTGCATTATGATCACCTTTGCAACCAATTATGTTTATTCAAGATTAGATTTCTGCACCAACCCAATCAAACTTCTTTGGAACCAATTTATAAAAGCATTCTCTCGGGCACCTGGTTGGCTCAGTAAGTTAAGGGTCTGTATAAGTTCAGATCATTTTTCCAGAAAACCAGAATAGAGCTCTACATCAGGCTCAGCAGGCATATAAAAGTCTAAAGAGAGAGGAAAGAAAGAATGTATAGACAAGTCTCATGGGCTTCTCCCTTCTGCACTCTCTTATCCACACAGTCCTCATTTTTCCTATTATTATTATTATTTTTTTAAAATTCTGTCTCCTCCCACTTTCTATTAAACCAGTCAGGTTTCCACACACACCCCTTCCCCAAAACACCTCCTCGCAAGGTTACCAATGATTTTCATGTTGCTAAGTTTTTTGTTTTTTGGGTTTTTTTAAAACATTTTTATTTATTTGAGAGACAGAGTGTGAGAGTGGAGAGCTCAGAGGGAGAGCAGACTCACTGCTAAGAAGGGAGCCCGATGCAGAACTCAATCCCAGGACTCCAGGACCATGACCTGAGCCGAAGGCAGTCGCCCAACCAACTGAGCCACCCAGGCGCCCCTTTTCGTATTATTAACATCTTGCATTACTGTAGTATTTTTGTGACAATTGATGAGCCAATATTTATTATTAACTGAAGTCCACAGTTTTTAAAAAAAGATTTACATATTTATTTGACAGAGAAAGAAGATGAGAGAGCAAAAGCAGGGGGAGTGGCAGAAGGAGAGGGAGAATTAGGCTCCCCACTGAGCATGGAGCCCAACATGGGACTCCATCCCAGGACCCTGATATCATGACATCAACAGGAGGCAGACACTTAAGTGACTGTGCCACCCAGCTGTCCTAAAGTCCACAATTTAATTAGCATTAATTTATTGCATTCAATAGTTCTAGGGGTTTTGACAATGCATAATGTCATCGTAGGAAAGGAAAGCATTTTCCTCAGCTCTCTTATGGTCTCTGGCTGGGTCTGAAAATTGAACTGACAGAGATGAAAAGGAGAAAAGCATACAAATTTGATTAAATTTTTACATGTACGTGGGAGCCTTCGCAAGAGAATGAAGACCCGAAGAAACGACCAGAGCAGGAAGCCTTTAAACCTTTTAGACAAAGAAACAATATATTTGTGAAGGATTGACCAGATAAAGGGTTTGATGTATGGGTAGTAAATGGTGAAGAAGTAACTAGAAAGAAATGGATTAGTTTTACAAGTTTTGTTTGCAGGCTGCTCTGGTACCACCTCGACCTGGTAAGAGATGGTCATCAAGAAAAGAATTTATTTTCTGCCTTTAGTCAAAAAAGGGAGAGCCTTTTCTGCATTTTGATTCTTGAGTGCCTTTAGTGCTAAATAATTTTTATGTCAAAGAGAAATAGTTTGGTTTGACACAGTCTGCTTTCCTTCAGCATGGACAAGGAATATGTCCTTCTTTTTTTTTTTTAATATTTTCTTTCTTTCATCGCAGTTTTGCAGTTTTCCTCATATTGATCTTGTTCACTTTTTAGTAGATTTATGTCTATATTTTTCATTTTTCTTTGGAGCTGATGTAAATTTTTTTTCAAATTTCAATCACTCATTGCTGGTATCTAAGAAAGCAATTGATTTTTGTATATTAACTTGAATATTACGGTTTTGCTCTAAAAATACATCATTTTTATCCTGTAGATAATTGAAGACACTAAAAGCAAGAGTGTTCTACTATTCTATTTATGCTCAGGGAGTATTAACCTGAAAGGAATATGTAGAACATATTGGAAGGAAAAGAGGCTAGAGGCAGGGAGACCCTTTGGGAGGCTTTTCTGAGAAACTACACATTTCCAAATAAGGGATTTATGGTACCAATGGAAAAGTAAGAAAAGTTTCAAGAGGCCAACACCCAAATTTGGCCCTTCTCCTTCATGCCTATGGGTGTCTTTCTTACCAAACTCCAACTTGTCCATGTACCCAATATGCAGTAAGCCAAATTCTGAGACACTGGATTTAAAGCAAAGAAAGCTTTAGAGTCAAGAGGGCAGTCCAAGGAGAAAACAGGGCATCATTCCCAAAGCTGCCTTGCTCTGTTGAGCTTAGAGACAACTTATATACATGAAAGGTAGGTAAGGTATTTTCTGAAACTAGTTGGGAGGTCCTTGAAACAATCTGGATGTACTCATTCTTGTGCACACTGGGGTGCTCTTTGGGACTTGGGATCACATACATCAAAACAAATGTTACTATCTGGTTCCTGTTATGTTTCTACCCTCAGTGGGTAAACACAGAGTAAGAGTGAAAAGACAAAGATAATGACTGATCCTGCATGAGGTTAAGAGATAAGGAAAACAGGGGTACGTGGTTGGCTCAGTTAGTTGAGCCTCTGACCCTTGGTTTCAGCTCAGGTCATAATCTCATGTTTGGTGGGATTGAGCCCCCATCTGGCTAAGTGGTAGGTGGGGAGGCTACCTGGGGATTCTCTCCCTTTGCCCTTCCATTCGCTTGTACTCTGTCTCTCTCTTGTTCTCTCTACAAATAAATAAATTTTTTAACAAAAAAAGATACATGAAATATATTTAAGTAGGGAACAAAACAATATAGAGTTAAGTTAATAATGCAACTAATACACTATAGATTGCTTATGCTTTCAAAATGGGTCTAGGAACCAAGGGACTTGCCTTGTCTTCACACACAGCTCCCTGTTTGAGATGACCTTACCATCCTCTCCCCTAATTTCTACTTAATCCTCAAAACCCAGTTCAGGTGTTGTGACCCGCTCTGTCAGCTCCTCACAGCCCCCTGGCACTCTTCCACCACAGATGCTAGAGCTATTGACAGTTCTTATATATAATGTATTTCCCTATTTAAGTGACCATCTCTTTCATTAGGTCATGATCTCCTGAATCTCAGCAGACCAGTATCTGGCCCAATAAATGGACACATAAATGAATAATTCATTCAAATCTGTTGTTGGAACTCACCAATGTTGTTGGAACATTACCAAGTACATGGTAACAATTATATCAAATTTACATCCTGCATTTTCTCCTAAAGGATTGAAATCATAGAATTTCAAAACACTGAAGCTTCTATTGAGAAGGAAGCACTCAACCCATATCAAAAGGAAATCCTTTCCTCACACTTCTTTGAGGAAGTAATCACTTCTCCTTTGTTCCTTTAAGTAGGCTTGCTCTTCCTGCATCTGCAGGAATACTGGCTTTAAACAGTGAGTTGGAGGGTGTGCACAAGAAGGGCATCTTCCAAGCCCTGGGTTTCCCTTTCCTCTTTCCTAGGGTTCTTCAGAACCCTTCCCTGCTGCACGCAGGCCACGCTTTCATACCTGGCAGAGGAACAGCAGACAAAAGCCTCTGAGCCTGGGACTAACCACAGCACAGAAACCTGGTAAGAGGAGAAGCCTGGGGGCTATGGAGAGTAGAGTCCTAATGATGGCCAGAAGGTTCAGGTGACATAGATGGAGGAGAAATATTCCAGGAGGGAGGAGGGAAGAGATAAGTTTCTGGACCAGGAGGTATAGGACAAAGACAAGAATGGAATCTGCCACTTAGAGGAAAAGTCATCTTTTTTTTTTTTTAAAGATCTTATTTATTTGACAGACAGAGATTACAAATAGCCTGAGAGGCAGGCAGAGAGAGAGAGGGAGAAGTAGGCAGAGAGAAAGGAGGAAGCAGGCTCCCCACTGAGCAGAGAGAGCCTGATTCAAGGCTTGATCCCAGGACCTGGGATCATGACCTGAACCAAAGGCAGAGGCTTTAACCCACTGAGCCACCCAGGCACCCCAGAGGAAAAGTCATCTTATCACATTCCTCCTCCCTGAGCTTCACATCATTCCTAGAATTGTGAGATGCATGTCAGAGAGAAGATGATTTAAAGAACAGAAAAAAGACCAATGAAATCTTAAAAGGCACACTAAGGATTAGTTAAGTTATTATCATAACTTAATTAACAACTAAATAGTTGTGAATGATAATTTTGCTCTTATGGCTTCTACTACTATCATTCTCTCCGTTTTCTCTCTCTTCCTACATAGAAGAGATGATGCTGGATCTTCTGGGACCCTTTCCTCTCCTCCTGGTGCTGCTGGTATCATGGGGGCCAGTGCCACTTGCTGCTAGGCCTCGAAATGTCACCAGGGTTCAATGGTTTGAAATTCAGCGTATAAGAGCAGGTCCTGTCCAATGCGGGACGGAAATGAGTCGTGTCAATAATTATACTCAGCACTGTAAGCCTGGAAACACCTTTCTGCACTCCTCCCTCCAGAACGTGGCTACTGATGAGGGAGCAAGAGGCTGACTGAAGACAAAGCAAAAGCTGGCACCTTGCATCCCCTCTCCATCCGCTCCCCCTCATATGTGTAGCATTCCTCAGGCACCCCTGACTGCCATAAACGATAAACAAATAGTTAACTTGCAGAGATCACAATCCTGCAAGACAGGAGTCTCCCTTGGCTTACAAATGTCCTAAATCTCACTAACAAAGATGATTGATAGCAGGATTATGACATCCCACCAAAAAATCTCCCAACTATCTTGATGTTAATGGCTGGCGTAAAGACAACATTGATCAAGCCACAAGGGCAAGGCCTCCAGTATCTCCACACCTTGTAGGCCCTCTTTAGCATATGAAAGCTCCATTGAAACCTCCCTTCCCCTCCCCTTCCCCCCAACCGCAAGGTACATAACCTGCCATCCCTCACAACCCGGGGCAGCAACTCTTCCTGCACATGGGTCCTGTCCCCGTGCTTTAATAAACCACCATTTTGCACCAAAGATGTCTCAAGAATTCTTTCTTGGTCATCGGCTCCGGACCTCAGCCCACCGAACCTCACCTAGGTTCTAGAACTTCATCAGCTACTACTTGTCTTTTGACCAACTTTTTTTTTTTTTTTTTGACCAACAATTCCTGCAGGAATGGCCAGAATAACTGCTACCAGAGTGCAAATCGTATTGGCATGACTTACTGCAGTCGTACTCAAGGGACATATCCCAATTGCAACTACAGTACTACTCTCCAGAACCAGTTCTATGTTCTTGGCTGTGAGCGTCATCAGCGGGGCTTCCCTCCCAATCAACTGCTTCCTGTGCACTTAGATAAAACCATTCCTCTGGTTCATTTACACTTTGATTAAGGCCAAAGTCCCTCTCATGATGCAGGTTCTCTTGATAATCCGTTCTGCCTTTTCTTTTCCTTTGTTGATTCCCATGGTTCCCATGAAAGAAAGAAGGTGGGGAGTGAGAGAATTAGAGGGCCAAGATTGCAAGATCAGGGTTGGGGATGAAAACAAATAGGATTCTTTTTTGCTTTGGAGCTCTGCGTGTTTCTAAGGAAGGCCATAGGGAAGAAGGCAAAGAAAGACCCAGGCCCCCTATTTTTAATCTTGAAACTTCTGCCAAGCTTTGCTGTATTGTGTTCACAACAATAAAATCATTTTCTCTTGCACTGTAATGACCTTGAGTGTGTGTCTGGGATCTCGGTCATGTCAGCCTGGGGCCATCTGGATTGCATTTACCAGCATTCTCAGGAGAACTGTTTGGGCCCAGGTGTCCTTTGAGGTTATTCAGCAACCCAAGGCTGCTGCCACTTCCCCCCACCCCTGTGTCTTTTGGACTTTGGAGCAGGAATGTTCTCCATCCCTTCAAACTCTGGCTCAAGGCTCTTACATATTTCCCTAGAAGCCATGGTCTATGTTTAGTTGGAGGTGGAATGGATACCTCATTGAGTCTGCATAGTCCTTCACACACAGGTTAAAAACCAACGCATCCTACATATTTTCTGGTGGTTTCCATACTTCATCAGATAATGTCTGAAATATAACCAGTAGTAGGAATGATAATCCACTGTAGCTTTAGAGTCACTTCTCCTATGATCTACTGGAATGCATGAAAGAAAGCATAGATCAAGAAAAAAAGAAAAGCGCTAGGGAACTGAAAACATTCTTGCCTTACCTAAATACTCAACTATCACAGAACTAATGGTGTTTTGGAACAGATAGTTGATTTAGATCCTGAAGGACGGGAGTAAGTATGTGGTTTGGGGCCCCTGAGTGGCTCATTGGTTAAACAGGTAAGCCTCTGCTTTACTCAGGTCTTGATCTCTGGGTCCTGGGTTTGCACCCATTAGGCTTGATGGTCAGAGGGGATCCTGCTTCTCCCTCTCCCTCTGGCCCTCTTCCCCCCTTGTGCTTGCTCTCCCTTTCTCTCAAATAATAAAATCTTAAAAAAAGAGAATTTGGCTGGGATGAAGAATTAATTCCTATGCTTGAATAATAGAGGAACTCTAGCCCAATTAGAAGGAAGGAGGGAAAGCTAGTGTATAAATATGTGGTTTGTAAAAGCTATCCTGTCTTGAGGAACTACAGTAAGGAGCAGAGGATAGAGACAGCAGATCTGAAGTTTTTTGTTTATTTAAGACTTATTTTTATTTTAGAGGGAGAGAGAGTGGGAGTAGGAGGGCAGGGGGAAGGAAGAGACAATTGCAAGCTGACTCCAATTTGAGCCCAGAGCCTTACTCAGAACTCAATCTCACAACTCTGAGATCAAGAACTGAGCCGAAACTGAGATTAGTTGGTGGCTTAATTGACTGTGCTACCAAGGCACTTCAGATCTGAAGTTTTTGAACCTAATTTACCTTGCAAGTACACTTTTTACAATGATAAGGTAATTTATTAGTATAATAGAATGCAATGAAGGCTAGTAAGATCTGGGCAAATGAAGGCTGAAACAGTAGTTCTGTGCCTTACTGGGGAGCTCAGAGGAGAGGATATCTGAGCACGGCTTTGTAGGATGTTTATGAAACCAAGCAGATGAGGTTAGAAAGAATATTCTGAGGAAAGGACATAATACCCATGAAAATGTCAAGGGTTAAACTAGAATTTTTTCTAAAAGGAAAACATGTGGCTATCATGGAAGCTTAAAAAAATAAATCATCTCATTGAATAGACGCATAAATAACTCATTTTATTTGGCTCATGGATTAATAATGAGGAAACCTGTAACATGGTAAAAACAGTTCAATTATGATCTTGGTTTATGGAAATTTCTATTCTCTACTGGACAAAATTCATTTGCAATGTGGTGAAAAGGAAATATCTGGGCTCTTATCAGTTTGCACAATTTCCTTTGTATCCTGCGAGTCAAGCCAAAGTATACACCTCTGTAGCATCAGCTCATCCCCGGGGTGAACAAACACTGACACCCCAATGAAAGGAAACACTATCATCTCTTTGGTCCATTTCTACATTTTGGACAGTTTCACTTTAGCAGATATGGGAAACTTACAACTTACACAGAAAAATATATAGAGTTCCTTATGACGGGTGTGGAAAGAAGATGGTGTCATAAGATAGTCTGACCTAGCAACTGGACAAAAACAGAAAGACATCACATGCCCTAAGTGAGCAATGGGCTAAGTCTTGGGAGCCATTTTGACAGTCAGGATTGTAGCTCTGTAGAAACAATAAAACTAAACCTCACAAAGGAACTTGGAGCTAGCTCATCAGGTAGCATCAGTCTCTGACTCACTGTTCTGACCACTCACTTGTCAGGGGCCTGACAAGAAAGACCTCAGCAACCAGGGAAGAGGGAGTGTTCTAGGAGGTTGAATATGGCTGAGTATCATGTATGATCAAGATACTAATGTTCTGTTATTTCAGTGACAAGAATTTGGCACTATTCCTTTTCCATTCAGCAAGCATGTAAAAGTTTAGAGAAGGAACAGACCAAATAGCAGGACTTCAGCCTAATCCCCTTCCAGCCAGGCAGGAATGTGGAGAAGACACAGTCTTGTTTCTACAGAAACCCCACAATGGACACATCAAATGCCCTGAACTTGCTTTAGGATTGTAGGGCTGGAAAAAGGACCAAGCCAACCACCAGAGTCCATTCCCATCACTAGGAGCTTCCGACAGAGTTCAGGATATGCTACTCCAGAATCTGGCAACTTGGCAAATTCAATCTTTTAACCTGAAGAAATTTGAGACAAGACAGGTGCAGTAAGGACTGGCCTTCTGCAGAAGCAGATCATAAAACCATCCTGGAAGAGGGTTTAGTTCATATCCTTTGTTCTATCGCATCTTTCCACAACTTCCAACGCTTCTTCAAACCTAGCACACAAACACTCAGGTGTAACCATTTCTTTTGGGCTTTTTTTCCTAGGGAAAGCTCCCATGTCACCTTAAACTTATGTGAAATAAATGTGCATGCTTTTCTCTTGTTAATCTGGGTTTTTTGCTCTGTTTGTTTGTTTGTTTGTTTTTGTTATGGGGGCCCAGCTGAGAACTTAGAAGGGTAGAAGGAATCAGTATTTTTCCTCCCCTACACTTGTAAGAGTTGTGATAATTTAAGAGAGATAAGGAGCAGAGGTAGACTCTCCTAGTTGCATCCTCCCCAATCTGTCTTGCACTTTACTTGGGGTACCAAGATAATCTTTCACCTGCCTGAATTAAGACAAGGTGGAAACTTTGTTTCAGGAATCAAGCAGAAGGCCAGTCTTGAGAACTTGGGCACTGGGTGAAAAAATGGTTCTTCACCAGAAATGGGTAGGAGACTCACCGTGGAGCTCATCATACACACACATGCAAAAGACCTGGTTCCCAAAGAATCTGTTTCAGGAGGCCTGGAATCTAGGCCTTCTTAAAAGTCTCTTAGGCACTTCTGATGAGAGGGGCCAGGGTTGGGAACTTCTGCCCAGGCACAGGGGTAATCTGATACTATTTTTCTCTGCAAGTGGACTCGGGGTGCTATCAAGTTGTGCGACTACAAAGAGAAGGGGGATGTGTGGCTGTACAATAGGTTAGATGAGTGCTAGGCACACACACAACTTGTGTGTGTGTGTTTTAATCAATAGATTGGTTCAGAGCAGTTTTAGGATTATGTGAAAAGTGAGCAGAAAGTATAGAAAATTTTCATAGGCTTCTTCCTTCCCCACTTGCCTACACACACAACGCACAGTTTTCCTCTTATTAACATCTTGCATTAGTGTGGTACTTTTGCTATAATTGATGAGCCAATATTGTTTATTATTAACTAAAGGCAACAATTTAATTAGTATTAATTAATTGCATTCAATAGTTCTAGGGGTTTTGACAATCCATAATGTCATTGTAGGAGAGGAAACCATTTTCCTTGACTCTCTTATGGTTTCTGGCTGGGTATGAAAATTGAATTGACAGAGATAAGTAAGAGAAAAGCATGATTAGACTTGTACTGTTGGGTCCCCCAATAATGGGTCCGTGATTAAAGGAGCAAGACTGATACAAAGCGAAGGTCAAGCAAAGCTTTATTTGGCGCCAAGCATCAGGAATCAAATCGAACGTTCGGGGCCACCCCTCTTACAGAGAGGGCGACCTCTCTCTCCCTCAGAGACTAATTTTTATAGAGCAAAGGCCATGTGGTTGGGCCTGGCCACACACAGGTGGCCAATGAAATTGTAACACAAAGAGAAAGCTGCACAGTCATGTTAGGTGACCAATTGAATTACAATTTACCCTAGTAGATATTCGAACCCGCCTATCACCTTGGTCAGAATTGGCACCCAAAAAGTGCCCAAAGGGTGGGGCCCATACTCCTTGGTAACTAGGGAGACAGTATGCGCCCCCCCCCACTGATGGGATGTCTCCACCTGGCCTGACCCACCCTTGTATTTGGGCTTTGTTACCTGGGACTGGTTTCCGGGACTTGTTTTTAAGTAAGTTCCCCTGGGGGGGAGGGTAGAGTCAATTCAAGTTTTACAACAAAATGGCAGTTCAACCGGGGTGGGGCCACTCTGGCTGAATAGGCCCTTACAGTACGTGTACATAGTAGCCTTTGCAAGAGAATGAAGACCTGAAGAAGTGACCAGAGGAGGGAGCTTTTGTATCTTTTAGATAAAATAACAGTACATTTGTGAAGAATTGACAAGATAAAGGGGTTTGGTCTTTGGGTAGTAGATGGTGAGAAGTAACTAGAAAGAAAAGGGTTAGTTTAACAAGGTTTGTTTCCAGATTCCTCTGGTGCTACCTCTGGCTGGTAAGAAATTGTCAGGCAAAGAATTTTTTTATTGCCTTAATTTCTTTTTTTTTTTTTAATTGATTTTACCTATTTGAGAGGGAGTGGGAGAGAGAAAGCAGAAGCAGGGGGAGGGGCAGAGGGA